AATATATTTATATTACTTAATTTTGACATAATTTCTGTAAATACTATTATATTAATTTAAAAAATGCTAAATTTGATGTAAAATTGATGTAATTGATGTAATTTGATGTAATTTGATTGGTTATTTTTCATGTGACGCTTATTATTTTAATTGGACGATCAATTTCGGAAATTTTCGGCAATTATGAAAATTTGTGTAACAATTGACGTTCCCTCCTGTTTCCAAGCCCGACTCATGTTGGACTAGCCCAAGAAAGCTCCATGGATAGTCCGGCCCATGCGGAACCATGTACATAAAAATTTTAACATTAACTATAATAATTCTAAATATGCGCAAATATGAGACTTAGTCTTTTAGGAGGAGTATTAGTGTGAGGCCAATTTTTGTGTTACTAAACCTACTATAAACTAAAAGAATAACGGGTATATTTGTGTCGATATTTTTTCGCGTTCCTGATATCGAGGTTAGTGTTCGGATTTTTTTATGTTAAAACCGATTAAAACTTGTTTACGTTAAGAACAATAAACCGGTTCAAAATAAATAAAAATAAATTCAGATCATGTGAGGTCATATGATATTACTGCGATAATACAGAAATGCTTGATTCGCTAATCCGGTTGTTAGACTTTTTTTTGTAAAAGCTTTTGTTCTCACTTGCACGTAATCTTTGAACAGCCACAGTAAGCGAAAGTTTAGTACGGATGGCTGAGACTGAAAACGTAGAGACAAAACTTAATTTTTCACAAGACGAGTTGATCTTGTGCTTTCACGGTCCTTTACTCTACGAAGCCAAGGTAACAATCACAGAATAACTCGATCGTGTGAGTTGTATGATTAAGTGCCGGTTTCAATAATAAGTAGCAAAAGAACTAAAAAGGTAATTTGTTTTACTAGATCCTTAAAGCCGAAAACTGGGGCCCCGATGATTCAGAATCTGGGGAAACTGGGCCGCATTATTTTGTTCATTATAAAGGGTGGAAAAAAACGTATGTAAGCGTTTTGAAATGATTATTGGACGTATTTTAGCATCGATTGTAAGATTTATATTATTTAAATACCAATAGGTGGGATGAGTGGGTTCCAGAAGAGAGAGTTGTAAAATACAATGATGCTAACCTGGCTAGACAAAAACAACTAAAAGATACATATACCAATAAGAAAAAGAAATCTGCAAACAAAGAACGGCAGAATACACCTTCTCAGGAACCTTTAGTGAGTTCCCTAAAATAATTATCAGAAACAATTTATTCTGCACAAGAAACTAAATGTAACTCAATCAAAGCGATTAATTCAAGCTCGTACAAATAATTTTGTGCAAAATCGTCAAAAGATTGCTAATAGAGGTCAGCAGAAAAGCTCTTCTCCTGAGCAGCCCGATAGTCCTAATTCAGACGAAAGCTCCATTAAGCAAGAGGATGAAGAAATGCTAGACATTAAAGATGAACATTTAGAACCAGATAGTGATGTTCAAGAAAACCAAAACCAGCAACGCACAAAAAAACGTAAATCGATGGATGAAGATGAAGATGATGTATGCTGAACTTAATGATTTCACTTGTGAAGATTATTTTTGGAGATGCTAATGTTTATTTACGTGGTCTTTTTAAGGAAGAAGAATTTATGAATCGCCTTGAAATTAAAATCTCCCTACCTGAATCACTCAAATGCAGATTAATAGACGATTGGGAAAATATTACAAGAAATCATGCAGTGAGTATAATTAAATTATCCTAAATAGATACATGTTCCAGATAAATTGCTTTAATTTCGATGTCTTTATAGTTATTAAAACTACCTCGGTCACCAACTGTCTCAGAAATTTTAAAGCAATACCTGGAATACAAATGTTCATCCTCAATAAAATCCGAAAAGTAAGAATAAAATTTTGTTTATTTATTTATTCCTATGATAAAGTATAAATATAATCTTTGCCTAATTTAAAGGAGCGATATCTATACGGAAGTTGCACATGGGCTTCAAGTTTATTTCGAGAAAACTTTGGGGAACATTCTTTTATATGGTTACGAGCGACAACAATATGTTGATATTCGTAAACAATTCCTAGAAAAAGAGAACGCAGAAATTTATGGAGCGGAGCATTTGCTGAGGCTCTTTGGTAATAAAAAATCTGTTGATTATGATGATATATATGTTCATTTAATAACTGTCGGTTAACTGTAGTCGAATTACCGCGTTTACTTGTTCACACACATATGGATCAAACAACTACCGAGACTCTTGAAGAGCATTTGGCTGATTTCTTAAAGTAATCACAAACTAAAAATTTACCACATGTTTTATAAAGTTTTGAATCTAACGATTATTATGATAAAAAGATTTTTACAGAAGAATGAAGACCAATATTTTGTCACTGAATATGAGCGTCATGGTATGACACTTACAAATAAGCAAAAGACAAAAGAGATAAAGACAATCGAGAAAAAGACGTGTGGTTATAATACTTATAGTAACTCTGAGGGTAAATTAGCATTTGTTTGTCTCAGTTTGGTTTGTTTTCTATCGCTCTCCTAAAGGAGATTTTATTCAGGTTAATGGAAAGCAAACCGATGAAATAGTAAAGAATAGTGGAAATTTTTATTGCTATATTTTTCAGACCCTGCAAATCTAATACCAATCATTACTTATTACATTTTATTTAGGGTGGATCTGCGGTAATTGCAAAACTTCAAACACCCCAGGATGGCGGGCAGGAGAGACTCCGGACCAAAAACTTTGTAACGGTTCGTATTTTTAGATATATTAACAGTTTTTTGGTATACTTTATACAAACCTAAACCTATTTCTTGATTTAGCTTGTGGTCTATATTATGCTAAATATAAATCGCATCGACCTTCGAATCTTTGGAACAATCACCGAGGCAATAAAGCGCCATAACTATTACCATTGTTGTGATAGAATCTGGAATTCCATTGAGCTTTCAGATTATTCCGGTTCCAATGAAAATTCCACTGTAAGAATAATCTTACCGGAATGTTAATGCACATAGTAGTTAATATTAACCAATCAAAATAACTATATACAATAAAGTCATATGTATGCTGTCATACGTATGAGTTTATATAATGTTACTTTAGAAATTGCATTCGTAGGGTCGATCAAGTTTGTGACGAGAACACAGAGTTCATGCGATATAAATTTGTAAATTATATTTTCGACATTTGATTTACTGGATTAGCAATAAAATGCCGATTTGTTAATGTTTATAAGATACACATTTGCATTTCTTGCAGAGTGTTCTTTTTAACACCTGTTGGGCATTTATAATTCATAAAGGCATTTATATCTATTCGTCACAACATAACAAAAATATTACTGGTTTTTTTTGAACTCTTAATAGTTATCAGGCAGGCACTGCCTGATAACTGGTTTATTTTGGTCAAAGGTTTAAGAAATTGAATTCCGAAGGAATTCTTTATAAAAAAAGACGAAATACATATCTGATTTACGTCATACGTGTATGTGAAACATTGCACTTGTACTGTAACAGTACTAGTGTTGTAAGCCATATCGATATGACTTTAGTTGGCTGGCTAAGCCAGCCGACTAAAACATCGGCTAAGTGGCTAGCTAACAACTGACTAATAGTCTACTTTTCGGAAAATTTCTCCAAAGTATTTTATGTATATACAGTATATTCATTTCCTTCTCTAAATTTATCGTAATCCTACTATCCATGAATCATGTGACTCGGCCGCGTTAGCCAGCCGACCATATTATTTCGGCTGGCTAAGCCGGCTTAGCCACGGCTGCCCTAGTCGGCTTACAACACTAGTACTGTACATAAAAAAGCAAGCATAAAACCGCCTGAACTACAGTACGTTGAATTATCCGACTTTAAGAATTTTTAGGTTGGTCACCTGGCTTGAGAATTTAATAACACTACATTAAATCCTAACCCTATTAACTTTTAAGCTTGAGAATTTCAAAAGCCGTGTACCCACGTGACTTTTCGTTTAACTCGAAGTCAAAATTAAAGAAAACGTGAAAATATGAAAAAACGGCAGTCTAAACCTGTCTTGAAGTATTATCAAAAAATAGCGGGAGGCAATTTTACCTCAATAGCAGACCTTTCCTTACCTTAACATAATTTCAAAAATCACAGGGGTAACGGCTTTAGTCATCCCCTAAATTGGGACAGTCAGGATGAATCAGACGAATTCTAATTCGGGTGCGATAAAAGAATGAAAATTCACTATAACGGATGATTTATTGAAATTTTCATTATATCGAAAGAATTTTATATAGTGAATTGTATATATCATATGCCGTGTTTATTTTTTTACGCATCAAATCGACCAACCGACTTTGAAAAGAATCAACCAACCAGAACAAAAAATCGTTTAGTCGATTTTTTAGTACCTGCTATAATATCTACTTCCAATGTCTATAATTCTCTAAGAAGGTCATCCAAATCTTTAAAGCGGGAGTTATCTCGTTTGAATTCAACATGGGTTAGCGATTGACGATGCTTTATAAAATTAACGAAATATAAGCAACGGAAAACCATGTAGCTTTACATACACACATCAACTCGATGTTTGTTTCACCTGTGTAAGACTCTCATATTTAACAGAACAGTATTCACAATATCCCGGTTCATCTCTAAGTGGCGCAACAATTCTTTTACCTTCATTTTCGCGTTTTTCTCGGTCACCTAAAAAATGCAAAAAGTCAATGTTGTCATAGAATTACTGATGAAATGTCTTGTTGCGACAGCTTACCGTCTTTAGTAGGATTTGCAGGCACCGCTGCAGAATTAGCAACATTCAAACTTGCAGAAAGCTTAGTTTGAATTGACTTTTTTTTGGAATAAGTTTGAAATGGAGACACTGAATCGGGTATATCAAAATGAAAGCTTATGAGATGCTCTTCACCCAAGTACTGTCGCGAAATTATAGGTCGATGAAGGTTTGCAATATCACCGACTATAATTGAGAAGATTTGATTTTTAGCAGGCTTTGTAACGTCGGTCGATGAAGATTGTAGGAATGAATGGTCCACTTTTGGTGGGTCGACCGATGAAGTGTCGAGTAATCTGCTAAGAATTTTTTTAAATTCTATTTGTAATTTGGGAGCAAACATCAATATATATGCTTATTTGAATTACTATTGTTAGCAAATATAAATTAACATACTGTCGACGTGCCAAATCTTAATCCCTCTTCTTTGCGCATCAGCAAGATCGATGTCTCCCATCACCTATATTGTTCAATATAAATAAACTGATAGCTCATAATAAAATGTTAAGGCAAGTTGTGGATAATAATTACATTAGTTGTAGCGATCGACCCGAATACTTTTTTGTCAGGATTTGTTCTTTTTATAAGAAAAAAAATTTCCATTAACGTTCAATCCCTTTAAATATATGGGTTGAGTCAATAGAAACCAAGCAAATATTTTTTAATTAGTTTTTTTAAAATTTTAAACAAGAATAACTTAACAAAAACTTGATCAAATTCAATAAAAATTTTTTTAAAATAATTCTACAAGTTTGTAAAAATTATTTAAAAAAATTTTTATTAAATTTGGTCAAGTATTTGTCAAGTTATTCTTGTTTAAAGTTATAAAAAAATTTTATTATAAAAAATTTGCTTGATTTCAATTGACTCACCCTCATATGGTAATATTCAGATAATCAAACAATTACTTACATTTCAGAACAGTCTAGCTTTACCCTTTTCTTCGTAGTGTCATTCTGTATGGTATTTTTATTAGTTATGTTTGTACCAAAAGCCCTCTTTGTAGAGGTTTTAAGTGCTGTCATTGTCGAAGTATGCTTCTTAGGCAAGGATTGTGTAGCAGCGGCTACAGTTTCGTTAATACATCGTTTTATTTCGTCCTCCTTATTTTCATTGTTCTCATTTTTGAATAACCTTGAGGTAATTATATGAGTAACTTTCTCAACGTCATAAAACGATTCAACTGCCTAAAATATTGTACATACTAGGCGAGTTAAAACTCGTATCATTTTAACTGAAATTATTAATTGGTTCTACTTACAGCTCCAAGCATCTTTATACCTAATATCATACTTTTTTTCGTATTAATTTTTATACTGTCGTCAAAATAAAATCTGCGATTCGGAAATTCCCTCCGTTGCAGAAAGACCCAATCAAGCATTTTGCCATCTCTTGTAGATATAGTTTTCTCCTGCAACGGCTGTTTAACCTTTGACAAAGAACTTATTTGATCTTTGCTCGCCATAATTTACGCGCTTTCCTGATAAAAATTGTCTTACAATTTCTTTGATAAAGGGAACAATTATAGACTATAAAGACTATAAACGATCGCGATTTTCGTTATAAATGACGCGTTTCAGGAAAGACTGTCCAAATTAGGGATCGTCTAAAGCTAGTGCGTTCACGTGACTACTGCCAATCTAGTTAACAGTTAACGACCCTAGCGTCGCCCGTAAAAATGGTAGCTGCCGGTTACATGGATCAAAAATGTTCAGTGTAATTTTTTCATCCATTTGTAATTTTTTTTTTTTTAATTAAACAAAAATTAAATTTTATATTAATCCGAAAGTTATGTTCCTTAAAAAACTATTGAAATATAGGCTTTTAAAATCTATTCAAAAAATGCTATGCTTTTTATATTTGGGGGTATTATGGCGCACTATGTTCACTATGTATTTCTTATTGTATTATTATATCCTTCCCCGGATATTACCCAAATGAAGAAATATATTATAAAAATTAAAAGAAACTTAATACTATTATAAGTAATGTCAACTTTTAC